TATAGTTTTATTTCACTTTCTATATAGTTTTATTTCACTTTCAGTTAAAATATTCACATCGGTGCATATACATTCTTAGTGGTTTCTTAGTTTTATTTCCTCTTTAATTCACCTCATGAATCTGAAATGGTACATTTTAAATTGTACGCATTTCCATTTTTGAAATACATGATCCAGTCAGAAGAAACTATTCTATAAAGCAAACAGTGAATGTTTCATCCTGCTGGATGTGAACAGACGAGTGTTTTCATTGCTGCTGAGCTTTCTCGCTGACGTCGACTCATTAGCTTTTTACTCGAGTTTGAAGAGAAAAACTAGCAACAGAGTTTACTGACAGTGAAGGAACAAAATCTTTTGATGTCAAGACATGCAACAAGGACACGGTACTGACACATTAATGAGCGAGCAGTTAGAGGTACAGCGGAAAGTTACTTGCAGCTGCTGCTCCCCTTTTCACACCTTCAGTGGAAACAAAGGACCGTTACAGTCCTGGCTGCTTATTGGTCGACAGGTTTGGAGTGGGTCAGGCTGAATGTCCCGAGGATCACCAGGTGGCGCTGGAAGGTGCAGCAGGAACTGATGGAGGCAGGCGTGCCTCCCGTGCCACGCAACGTCAGGATCTGCACCAGGTGCCACCAGAAGACGACCAGGGACAAGGGCCACAGCAGGTACACCTTCTTCTGTGAGTCCACTGACCCCTGCGGCTGGAGCGTGGACGAGTGGCTGGAGAGGAGGAGAGCGGGCTTTGTGCCACAGGTGCAGGAAAGGAAGGAGGAAAAGAAGGAGGACAGCGAGGAGGATGAGGCTGAACGGGAGAGAAGAAAGGCACAAAAAAACAAGCAAAAGAGAAAAGAAACGGAGACGGGAGCAGTACAGGATGAAAAGGAAAGACGATAGGAGGAAGGAAGAGGAGAAGAAGACAAATGCTGAGGCAGAAAAAGAAAAGAAGAAGATGCAGAGACAGAAAGTGATGGATAGAATGAGAAATTACAATAAAAAAATGGAAGTTAAGGAACGATATAACAGATGGAGAAGGGTGAGAAGAAAGAGGCAACAGAAGAAGAAGGACAATCATGAGGGGCAGGAGGAGCCCTCATTTTGTTTTCATTATTAATGGTTATTGTTGTTGTTGTTATTGTTATTACAGTGTGTTGCTTGTGTTTGTGTGTTTCTGGGTGATGAAAATAAAGAAAACTGTTTGAGCATACTGTTTATTCCTCTTTATTAACACGTCATGAAATGAATGGATGTAATGGCCTGAGAAGGGATAAAAAAATTGACCCAAATGCAGACTGCAGTGGCCATGCCGGTCAGCCTTATAAACAGAACAATTCCCTCACCTGGCCAGCAGGGTGTGTCCGTCCTCGCCAATCTTCTGGGTTCCCCCTGCTGACCGCCCTGCACATTTGTTTCACGCTTTGGTCATGTCACCCTGTCGGTACTGTCATGGAGTTATTCTTTATAAAATCTATTTTCAAAGAATAAGTGATTGATAGTAATTAATAGTAAGAGTTGATTATATTCAGTTTGTTTGTAACTGTGTCCCCAGGTTTTTTTTCTGATTGCTGCTCAAGTAAAGGAAAGAGGTAGGATTTTAAAAGCAAATGTTTTATTTTACACGTATGAAACAACACAGACCAAAGCAAAGTAAACAAAGTCACATTTTAAAACAGCCTAAAAACAAAACCCAGGCCATCATTGAAACAAATATGAAATGATAAAATATTAACCCTGGAAATTTAACCCAGCCCTGTCCTCTTTTCTCTTTATTCCTGCTTCTTCTCCTTCATATAATAAAATAATAATAAAACATTAACCCTAGAAATGTAAACCAGCCCTCCTCTTTATTCCTGCTTCTTCTCCTTTAACGTCCTCCTGCTCTCCCTCCTCCATCTGTTGCACCCATCCTTTACTTCTGAGCTTTTGTTAAACTCTTGCATTTTTTAATTTTTCTCTCTCACCACCTCTTTCCTCCTCTGCTTGTCCTCCATCCTCCTCGTCTCCTCTTCCCTTTTCCTCTTTTAGTATCTCTTGCTGTCTTTCTTTCTCCCTCTCTACTCTCACAGTCATCCTCATCTCTGTTCATCCCATGGCTGCCTTTCCTCTCCTCTTTCTTCTTCCTGTGATTCTCCCTATTCAACCTGCTCCTCCTTTCCCACACCTCAGGCCTCCTATTGTAAGACCTCCTCTTTTCCAG